TCACTAGATTGACATTTACAAATAATTATGTTAACAACCTCTTTATTATAAAAACGAAAAAAATTATGATATAATTAAAAGTATTTATTTTGTAATAAAAGAAATTCTTCATATATAGGAGTTTTTTAACATAAACACGTGATCCTATTTCCATTTTATTAAACCATAAAACTATCTTTACTACTGTCAATCATAACAATATTAATATCAATTAAAAAGCTAATGAAATTCTTTTATGCAAATATCCATATTATTGCTATTTCTTTTTCGCTATTATTATTTTTATTTTTTTTTAACTTTGGCAGCCTTGCCAATAACTTTATTAAGTTTAAACATATACAGTATACACGAATACACATTACACTACTTAAATTATAGATCTGACATCTCCCGGCTACCTCTACGGGTGCCCAGAAGCAGTCTGCCGCACCGGTTAAGGCAAAGCCCATACCGGAGGGCTGCACCAAGTTAACCGGCATATAGTTGCCGTCCAAACCTAACTAGTTTGGGACTTTCTAAGGTATTAACCATTATTTGGGACTAGTTAAAGCCATGAAACTTGTCCCGAACTTACTGCATGAAATGGGATTTGAGACAAAACTTCAGTTATAACTAGTTTGGACTAATAGTTATAACTATTTGGACGGCAACTATAAACCGGCAAGACCATACCAAAATGATCTTACTTTACTTTAAATAAACTTTTTTATCGGGCAGCTTACTATGATTTATCTGCCCAATAATTTTATTATTGGGCAGAAAAAAAAGTTTAAAATAGTTTAAAATAGTTAAACTATCGTTTCTACCCAATAATAAATTATTAGGCAGAAAATTATAGTAAGCCACCCGATAAATCCGTTATCAGGCATGCTGATACTGACTTATAACTTAATTATTTGGTCAAGGATTTTAAGATCAGCCTAAGAAATTGAATTCCTTCGGAATTCAATTTCTTAGTCTGATCTTAAATCCTCGACCAAATAAACCAGTTATCAGGCAGTGCCTGCCTGATAACTATTTATTATAGAACTAAATTAAGTTTCTTTTCCTTCTTTGTTTTCTACCTCTTTTCTTTTTTCTACTCCTTTCTTTTTAACTTTTCTTTTTTGCTATTATTACCTTCATTGTTATATTTTCTTCGCTATTATCAATTTTATAGTTGCTTTTTTCTTTGTTATCATCATCCTTATTGTTATCATTTCTATTATTTGAGTTAATTAATAATAAATAAATAAAAATGTACAAGGCATTAAGTATTCTTCAATTGTATTTTCATCATTATCAATTTCAACTATTTTTAAATTATTTTTTGCTTCAATGGCCTCCTCTAAACTCTTGTAATATTTTCAAAATGCCGAAACTTGAAGAATTAATTCGATTACATTTGAAAATATATAGTATATATTTTATTTATCATTTCAAAATTTTTTAATTTTAGAAAAAATAAGCATTTAATTACTGATAAGTCATTTACAATTAGTGATCTTAGCCGATAGCGATAGTGAAAAAATCGGCTAAAAGCAAATTATCGGTTTAGCTGGTCGATTTTTTTTAAATTCGGCTGATCGATTTTATAGGATTGTAAATGAACCTAAAATACGAGTAAGGTTGAGGGCAAAATTTTCAGTAAAGTCCGAATTAAATGATGTAATTTTAAAATCGGCTAAGCCGGCTAAGCTGGTAAAATTTATTGGCTAAGTCGGTAAAATTTATCGGCCGAAAAATTTTGATCGGCCAAAATCACTATCTACAATAGGTCTCAATGCCTAACTGGTAACTGTCGTAAGTTGCGGCCCAAGGTATGTTAAAAATAAATAAATAAAATATGATAAAAACTTTTGCTTAGAAATGTTGCATATTGTTTTGATCTGCATGTCATTGTAATATATTGATCAAAACGTGATTGTAATATATTGATCAAAACGTGATTGTTTGACCAATCAACTCAATAATATATGAATAAGTACTTGTTATCAGTTATATTGTAGATGATAACTAATTATCATTGGGATATAATGCGGAGCACGTGCCGCGAAGCGGCACGTGCTCCGTGTTATAAATCCCGATGATAATTAGATTTATCAGCTGCAATTTAACTGATAACACGGTTATCCGAAGCTTCTGACGTAAGCAACGACGTTTTTCATATAAATAAAATCACTTTATAATTTTAATCAAACTTTCGTTCACTTTTTTACTTGAACTTTTCTATTTA